AATTTGGTATTTGCGACTGATTTGTTCAAAAATGAAATATTTAGGGTTTTTTACGAATTATTCATATCACAGCGGATCGATTTACAGGGAACCAAAAAAAGGGACAAAATCGCGTATGCGGGAATTATTCTACAGATAATTTTGAACAACTTTTCCTAAGAGCAGCGGATTTTTAAGACGAATTTGTATAGGGATTATCGAAATTTGGCCGCCCGTTTTTGATAATCTATTGATCCCTTGTCGCTATGGGTCAGATCGACGACAAACGATTATTCAGATTTTTTTAGTAGAACATTTTCCACTTTTGCGATTTTATAGAAAAAATCGATTTTCTCTAAATCATACATATGTAAATATATAAAATTTGTTCGAAAGGTATTTTAAATTTTCAAAAGTAGTATTTTTTGTATACTCCATTTTATATTATATAACATATTTTATTACAGTTTTTAATTATAAGAAATTTCGGCTGTAGCATACTTTTACTTTGTAATTTCCGGCATAGCTTGCCATAAATCAGGCATCAAATCAAATCGCTCACAGGTATGTCAGTTTTTATAAACGTCTGAACGTAATCATAAAACAATTAACTCCAAATAACTTTATTATGCCTATGTGTCGAAAAAAAACATATATACATACATACATATTAGAACCATAATTAGGTTAGATATAATAAAAAGAGTGTTAAGTATACATACACAGCAAAATTGTAGTCTTTTAATGCTTTTGTAATCAAAAAAACAAAATTTGATTTTTTTAATTAGCCAAATTTGATTGCATATTTCTTTAGTCGAGGGAAAACCACTAATCATAGAATAAATCGTTAGTTCGAATATTTTCTAAATATCCTGATTTTTTTCTAAAATTTTAACATTCTATCTAAGCCTCCAAGCGGTTGCTAATTTTTCTATACCCTGAACAATTTGTTTTAAGTTTGCCGCGAGATTTTAAGATCCTGAAGGAAACGTCAGAGAGCCTCTAAAATATATTTACTGATCACTGATCATTTAGTCTGACGAGCTGAGACAATTTAGCCATTCTACTCTCCCCAAGAACATACCAGCTTTGTCGGTACCGTTACATTGGTTCTTAGTTCATTTTTTTAACACAATACGAACAGATAAATAAAGCTCTAACTCCACTTCTGCACTATCCTCAAGACTGACACATTCGCTTACTTCCTTTCCGATGTAATATAATTATTCTATTAGCAACCATTTCTCACAATGCTCGTTCAAGTGAAATTGCCAATTCACCTGCATACATGTGTTAATAAACATTTAAATAAATCAAATACTTTATTAATTATTATTTGAACTGTATTGATTACACTTTTTTATCGAAACCATTTGATAGGGTACAAAACATCTGTTTGGATTTAATTTCAGAACAAAATGGTTTTTTATAGTTAATGAAGTCAAAATTGTGATTATAACATACTCATTCGGTCGTTATACCCATTTATAAACAGAAGATCAGAACTTAGTATAACCAACAAAATGTATCGATTCAGGTCTATTTTCCAGGCAGTAGCTTTTTATGGGGCACCAGTATGGGCCAATATCGCGAACTCCCACATTTACAAACTGCAAGTGGTCCTAAATAAAATATTAAAAATAATTTTCAACCTACCATGACATTTTTATACCTCAGAATTACACGACAGAGCTAATGTTGAATTAGTCGCAGATTGATTGTCCCGACTAAAAAGAAGGTTTAACGATCGCTGTGAGCATTCCACGTACTCTCATATTAATTAATTAATTAATTAGCTGTTGTAAAATATATTCTTAGTTATAAAGTAGAAATAAGTAGGTTAAGACTATATTCTTCAAGGGTTTTTTGTAATTTTTTTCCCTACATATATTATATTATTAATAGTAACATATCATAACTCATTCTCCACTAATTTTTAAGTAGAAAAGGCGAAATCACCTGTACTCTTAACTTATATACACTGTAAATACATATGTATATTATAAGAAGAATCGTAAAAATACGATAAGACTTTTTCGACAACCCAATACAGAATATTAAGTTAACCACTCTAACTTTTTAACATTAAATCAACTTTAAAGATGAGTTTTCATGAAAGCTATTGGATCGCTAAAAACTTAGGAATAAGCTCCAGTCTATAAAACACATTATGACATTATGCCACAAAATCTTTAAAAATAGACATGGGTATGTATGTAAAGACATTTATGCAAATAAACTTTAATTTTATTACTTTATTTACAAACACTCGAAGAGTTAGCATCCATATTAGCCGTTAGATAAGATGACTGATACTAACACGGCAATGTCCTCTTGGCATTGTGAAATGGCAAACCAAGCATTAATATTAATAACATTCGCAAAATAGTTAACCTTGGAAGGCATTTTTGGAGATTAAAAAAATTTGAAAACTGTTTAATCAGGAATAATTTTATGAAATAGAATTCATATCATAGTATTTATAAAATCTTATAATATGAATATGTAAAAAAAAAAAATTGCGATAATACGCACTTATAAATGTATAAACCAACCTCTTATGCTTGTACATACATATAGAAAAACATTTTTTATAGAAACTTAAATAGTTATTACAATGTGATAATCAAAATTCGGTGCGCATTTTAAACACCTTAGAGAGCTTGAATTCAATTCTAAGCTACCTTTTTTGTTTCAAATCAATCAATGCTTGACTATATTTAATATGCATAAGTATATTTAACTTCATGTATGAATGCAAGCATAGAAAAATATAAAATTATTGAGACGCTGACTGGGCATTGGTGGTGCAAAATATGTATGTATATGGTGTGTATGTATGTATGTATGTATTTATGAGTTTATACTTGTAAAATAATAAAAAGTTGGCTAGGAAAAGTACAAAAATATGTACATATATACATAAGCACAAAACATGCAGAATGAGCGTTTTTGATAAACATATTTACAAATAAGACCATCTTAACATATATAAACATGTAAAAATATATGTATATAACATACATATATATGTAATACAGTAGACTCTCGAAAAAGGAAAAGAAGCTCAGCGAAGTTAATCGAGTTTCTGAATTCACTTATAAATACAGCACCAAAAAGTTAACTTTTGAGTAAAAATTTCGATTATGATAAAATATTTGCTGTCAGTTCATATGGCAGCTATATCCAATAGAGAATGCGATCTGAGATGTTCGGAGATTAAAGCATTGCCTGCAGCAGTAATTCTTGTAAAATGTTATGAAGATATCTTGTAGAACAAAAAAATTTTCCATAGAAGAACTTGATTTTGTTCGAGCAGTTTGTATGGCAGCTATATGCTATAGTGTTCCGATATGAACACAATCTTCAAAGAATGTATGGAGACTTTAGGTAATAATCCATACCAAATTTTGTGAAGATATCTCGTCGAATAAAAAAGTTTTCTCTACAAGAACTAGCTTCTCGGAGAGAAAAGAACGCGTGCAAATTTTGAGATCCATATCTCAAAAAAAGTACATTGTTTTCGGGGGGTTACAAACTTAATATACCCTGTTCAGGATATAAGAAGCAGGGAAGAGCAATTTGTATTAAGTGCACTACAAAAAACAGAGATTTGAACAACAACAGTCAACTCAAGAATAGAGAAAACACGTCTATAAATTTGTAGGCGGTAATCCAAATGTCAGCTGAATGGCATTGAAAATTGGAACACGAATAAAACTTCCTAAGTTGGCAAAGTTTACGAAGTGTCTGATGTTAATAACGACGAATCGGTTATCGAGCAAGATATTCAACACCCGGAAGAATTAAATTACAGAAGATGGCGAAGTTTCGTAAATGATTACAACGATAACAAAGAATCCATTATTGCGCTAGACATTCAACAACCGGAAGTGAGTTTCTAGGGAGCAGTTGAAACCCTGAACCTTTATGAAGTATCATGAAAACCATAAATTCTACTGTACATACTTTTTAATGAAAATTTTTCAGATCAAAATATGGTCTCGTTTCAAAAAACATACGCAGCCAAATTGCTTTTATTTATACATATGTATTTACACAACTATTCACGTAATCCCATTTCTCGTACAACAAAATCCACTTGTTGTTAATTTTGTTGCTATCGCCGCCATCGCCGGCCGCACTACGAACAGCCGTGCCGATGACGTTTTTGGGGGAAGCGCGGCAACGCGCATATTAACTACGTATACGCTGATAAAACGTGAATACGTCGTGTTTTGTGGGAAACGCTGTGACTCGTCTCGAGCAAGCGTCTGCAAGATTTTATAACGAAAATTTTTGTAAAAATTCTAGCCGCCAAACTAAGCTTCCGAATTACATGAAATTCGGCACATGCATGCGGTATACTATCTACTTTGTGCTGTGCGAATTTGAAACAAATCGTGCTTGTGGTTTTAGCACAAAATGGGATTTTCGGTAACTTCCTTACGGTAGCTCCGATTTTGATGACTCAAGCGAAATCTGATACCAGACATCGTCACGAGTTCAACGACATCCATATGCACTGGTTTCACTATGGTCTTAAGGGTCAAATGATTTTTGGAAAATCATTTTAAATAAGTCGGCGGGCGCGTAAACAAAATGCCGAGAAATAGTCACTTTTACACGCTGTTTTCATGATCGTATAGCGGCACTGTCGCGCCATGCGTTGGCACAATAGTTCCGTACCCCTCAATATGTCCCACTTACCCCGCTGTCCTAATAGTATATAGCTCGCGCAGTCGAAACATGTTTGGTTGGCTCTTGTTTTTCTATTTATACGAGTGATGATTTGCTATTGTTGTTATTATTTTTGATTT